AAAAAGGGGGAGGAAAAGCCGGGGGGGGGGGGTCATACACACTGTCCTTGAGGATCTGGGAGTGGATCTGGGGGAACAGGGGGGAATTTGGGGTCTGGAATGGATTTGGGGTCCTGGGGGTGGTCCTACACGAGCTGTCCCCAAGGCTCCACCATCGATGGTGGCACAGCGGAACGCGGGGTGGGAGGGTGTTGGGGTGATTTGGGGGGGATCTGGGGGGATTTGGGGGGGCCCGGAGGGGTCGTACACGCTGTCCTTGAGGATCTGGGAGTGGATCTCGGCCACGCCGTTGACGGCGTGCGCGCCCACGATGCACAGGTGCGCCATGTTGACGCGCTTGACCGCGCCCTCCTCCACCAGCGACATCCGCCGCAGCCGGTCCAGGTCCCCGGGGAACAGGGCGTACACGCGCTGGGGGGGGACATCGGGACCGCTGAGACCCCACCCCGGGGCCATCGGGACCCCTGAGACCCCCCCCAGGGACATCGGGACCCCTGAGACCCCACTCCAGGGACACCAGAACACCTGAGACCCCCCCCAGGGATATCGGAACCCCTGAGACCCCACCCCAGCAACATCGGGACCCCTGAGACCCCTGAGACCCCACCCCAGGAACATCAGAACACCTGAGACCCCCCCAGGGACATTGGAATCCCTGAGACCCCTGAGACACCCCCTCAGGGACGCCGGGACCCCTGAGACCCCCCAGGGACATCAGAACCCCTGAGACCCCTGAGACCCCCACTCAGGGACATTGGAATCCCTGAGACCCCCCAGGAACAACCCAAGGGACACCCTCAGGGACACCCCCAGGGACACCGCACCAACAGCGACACCCCCCTGTGCCACCCCCAGGAACACCAGACCCCCAGAAACCCCACAGAGACCCCCAAAAATCACCCAGCTGTGGGACACCCACGTGCTGGAGGAGGAGAGGGGGGCACAGACTACTGGGAGACCCCCCCCAATCCCCCCCTCCCCACCCTCCACCCCCAAACCACACAGGAATCTCCCCCCAGCTGCCCCCCATGTTCTCCCCAAGCCCCCCCAACCATCCCA